TCGACAGACTCTGGTTCTCCTCAGTCCCCACTCGCCTCCATGCGCTACTGCCTCCCCTCCATGGCGATTAGTTCTCAGGCTTCCCAATTTCCCTTCTCTCTCGATACATCGAGGCATCCACCGCCGCCCGCCGCGCACCGTCTACCAACCGCCGCCGCCCGCCTGCCGGCTGCTCGCTGCTGCATCCAATCTGGACGCCACCGCCGCTGCCTGCTGCCTGCTGCCGCCCCATCTCTTTTCGCTTTGCTTGCTGCTGCCCCTTTCTCTTCTCGACCGATACAACCAAAGGAGGAGGCGCCGAAGGAGCAAGCAAGGTAGATTTTCATTGCCATGTTAATTTGATTCAGATTGCCAATTTCGATTGCCATGTACAGTGTCAGTTAAAGACACTAGATTCAGATGTTAAATCAGGGACCCGATAAAATCCGAACGTTTGGATTTTAAGCATTTCATCCCAAACGTTTTTACATGGCAACTTTAGTTGACGCGAGGTGGCAATTTTAGTTGTTAAGACATGGCAACTTTGTTCCAGTTCGTTTTTTTGTCAGAAAATTGCAATGTTTACCAACCTCACGTGAATTAAAGTTGCCATAAAAAACGTTCGGGTTGCCATGCTTAAAATCCGAACGTTCGGGATTTATCATTGCCGTAAATCAGTCAGGCGGTCACAGTATTGGGCAGCCAGCCATGTACTGATTCGGAGAAGAAGTAACAACGATTTTCGAATTTTCGTTTCAGGTAGTAGTAACAATGACGCAATCCTTTTCCAAAAGAAAGAGAGGCGAAGAAAGTGTGTAGTACTTCCTCCGTTCTGAATTACTTGTCGCTCAAATGGATGTATCTAACACTATTTTAGTGCTAGATACATCCATTTGAGCGACAAGTAATTCGGAACGGAGGGAGTACAAGATATGTGTAAGATGCATATTTTGTTTCAGTTTATGTTGTGAGTAGCTCTTGTTTCCATGCATATTTTTTGCTTTTAGTTTGAAATTGCGCCCCCTCTTGGAGTCTTGGTTGCTTGTCAAAGTCCGCCACTGCCTCCAAGTGTAACAAGCAAAACAATATCACTTGGACGAACTCCTCAAAAGGTCTTCAATCAACTCTCACAAAAACCTATATCATCTATCTTCCACCTAGAATCAAATGATAGAGCTACAGAGGTTGAGCAGAAAGAAGAGATTCAAGAGGGAAGGAGGTTGGTCCTCAAACTCTCTGAAAAATCAGCTTCAAAACGTCCATGAAGTGCTCACCCACTCAGGGTGTGTGGGGGTCTATATAATATATATAAGAAAAACAGAAATGTGGCCTTTTACATGAAAGAGCATCTAGCCCAGAAATATCAAAGATTTTTCTCGGTAGTACCGATCAACCGGCGAAAACGAACTTCCCAGAAGTGATACCTGACTGTCCAGTAAGCCTCTTAGAAGTCCAAATACACAGAGATAGCTGAAACAAAAAGCTTGGAGGTGGGCACAAAGTAACATTCTGTCAGGATGGTCTATGACTGAAGCACATCCAAGGATATGTTCACATGAGCCTCATGCCAAAAATGCTGATTCTGCTGGTCCAAATAACTATTTTAAAGATTTTTATCTCTGGGCTATCAAAAGAAGCTTCAGTTACACATCTCGAAAAGATCAGTAGATTATGTCGATGACTTCATCTGAGTTGCTTACGTTGCTTAAAACAAGCTATCAGTGTCATACTGAGAACTGTATAAATGCACTCTTGGTGACATCTGGTATGGACTGAACGAGATTAAAGTGCCTTACAAGTTACATTACAACCAGTAAAAACAAATATAGCTCAGAAATAGAGGTAGTAGTACCAGAAGAAAGAACCACTTGATGAAGGAGTTTGCTGGTCCGGTCCAGATGCGAAGCCACACAGTAAACCATGACACAACATTTTGAAGCGTGAGACACCTTCTTAACGGAGCATCTTGATTAATCTCTTCATTTTGAAGCGTGACACACCTTCTTAACGGAGCATCTTGATTAGTCTCTTCCTTTTGAAGCGTGACACACCTTCTTAACGGAGCATCTTGATTTATCTCTTCATTCTGAAGCGTGACACACCTTGACGTAGCATCTTGGTCAATCTCTTCATTCTGAACCGTGACACACCTTGACATAGCATCTTGATCAATCTCTTTGATTATTCGATCCATATAGGACAAAAAGACATTTTCTCCACTTTGACGACTACTCCTGACTAGATCTCCATACTTTTTCTTGAACTGCCAAAACACAGTAAATTAAAACAAAAGCAAATCTCAAAAAACAGAGCAACAAGAGATTACTGAATAAACTAAAGTAAATAATTGGTTGAGAATTCGCGTGATGAAAGAATACAATAGCAGTAGTACTCAGAGGGTAAAATAAAGTAATCAACATCAGCAGTGCTGCCAGAGAACTTACGTGTTCTTCAAAATGGTGACAACCTGTAGTGTATCCTCTAGGACGTGTAAATGTGTAAGTGGGACGATTGTGAAGTTGCCCCACTGCAATTTTGATAAGGCTATTAACCTTATTTACAAAGTCGTCTTCTTTTGAAAGCTTGAGTACTTTTTTGATAAGATAGGCAGCTAAGCCATGAATGTGGACATCCAGTCTTGTCAGGGTGGAGAGGTGCTGGATGCCAAAATCTGAAGCACCATTCACGCACTTGACGCCATGTACAGGGAATTTAAGCTCCAAATGGTCCAGCTTAGGCATTGATCCCTCTCCGAACTCCAGTGCAGTTCCACAAAGAAAGATATCCAAGCTGAAATATTTCAAACTTCTGAACCCACGGATGTTGATCCTTCCATTTCTGCCGTAATAAGTTTTGAGCTTCAGGAAAAACAGAGCGGGCATAGCTCCAAGGATCTCGACATCTTCTGGTCCCATACGGTACAAGGATATGTCTAACGCCCTAAGATTCACAGGGGAGATCATCCAATTCGGAACTTTGTCGATGTGGTAATTAGTGATGGAGATCTCCAGGAGTACAGAAGGAGTAGTAGGGCGCCATGATTCCAGGGACAGTAGGCCCCAAATTGTAAGTTCAGCCATATAATCAATCCGTAGATGATGAAGATTGCATGAAGATATTAAAATCCCTACAAATCTCCCAACATCTTCAGCTCCATCAGCATGACAGAAATGAAGCGGATACAGGATACTTACACTCAACGTCCTTAGATTGGTTAACTTGTCGAGCTCTACCAGAGGCATCTTTATTCGCGAGGGGCAGACATGAACATTCTCTAGTTCTAAGCTCTGCAACTGTCCAATTATTCCATCAGATAAATTAGCGCAGTTTTCCATTGACTCTGATGGACTCATGTAGTCAACATATAGACGGGTCAATCTTTGAAGCCGTGTAATAGTTGATGGTAGTTTTGCAATTGTGGTGCCCTTTATGTCCAGAGTTTCCAAATACTGCAGATCTCCAATTTTACATGGAAGCTCTGTTATTTTATCTGATCCAAGACGCAAGTACTTGAGAAGAAATAACTTTCCAATATTTGTCAGATGGCTGTTTTCTAAATCCCGACATTCTCCCAGGTCCAACACACGAAGAGCTGGAAAAGACAACAAAGAATTTTGCCCGAAATTCCCAAACATAGCAAGTGATCGAACATGAGAGAGATCCCCTGGCACAGCAGCCATTTCGCTATAGCGGCTCATGACAGAGAGCCTGCGAATCTTGTGTTTCTTCCTATGCTCGGCATCACCATATGTTGTCATGAAATTCTCTTCACTGGCCTTGCATGTGATGAAATCCAGAATAATGTCATGAACTTTGCATGTCTCCACCTGGCCATACTTTATGTCGTGTGCTTGAATCAAGCTTCTGTTGATGAAACCATAAAAATAACTCTCCCCTACTTCGTATGCACTCCGATGTGGTTCTTCATGGATGAAGCCTTCGGCGATCCATTTATGTATCAAATTCCTTTTCTTGATAATATGATCTTCTGGGAATGCACTGAAGTACAACAAACAAGTTCTCATAGGGTGAGGAAGATCAAAATAACTCAGAGATAATATCTTTGTCAGGGCTTCAGCATGAGATTCCTTTGCAAGTGAAGAACCAATAGCAGCCAGTGCCCTGTTCCATTCTTCTTCGGCTGTTTGATCTGCCAGCAAACTAGACATGGTAATAATAGCCAGTGGTAGGCCCTCACATTTCTGCAATATCCCTCCAGACACATTTTCCAGATGCGGGGGGAATAAATCCTCTGAACCGAATGCTCTTTGCAAAAACAAGCTTCTGGGGTCAGCAGGACTGAGGGGTTTCATTTTGTAAACATAACCGGTTCCAGAACAACAATGTGATGCAACTGTACTATTACGTGTTGTAGTGATAATTCTGCTACCATGATCATTATTCAGTAGGGCATCCCTTATGGTTTCCCATGCTTCAGTGCTCCAGATATCGTCGATCACGATAAGGTACCTGCCACATGATTTTTAACAAACATATATACATTTGAGAGGGAAGCCATATAAGATTGCTTACGCATGCAGTGACATTTGCTAGGCTAGCCATCACTTAAAATCTTATAGAAGATGACAACGTGAATGATAGCCATCCCTCCCAAGGATTGGCCATTTAACTAGTTGCCACATCGCCATTAGTTTACTAGTCAGCCAACTTGATTACTTACTGTTACTAAATCATGTCATTAATTAGCTGAATCAGATATAGTACTTACTAGGAAAATCATGTGCTTCAGAATATTGCAGGTTAGCAAATTAAAGCCCTTTCTAGCCAAGGCGTTCCTTTGGAAGAACATTTCAATATAGAACATGAGGCTTACTTTTCGTTCTGAAGGTGGTCTCGGAGCCGATCAATAAGTCGCCGCTCGTCATCATTGGAAGTGCTGTGAGAGATCCCCACTCTCTCAGCAATATCTCTTAGAACATTTTTCATGTTAGGCTTTCGAGAAACCGACACAAGTGCTGAACATGAGAATTCACCTTTAATGGCTTGGTAGACTGCATTTGCTAGGGTAGTCTTTTTTTTTTGAAAGGTTTTGCTAGGGTAGTCTTACCAAGACCACCTGTACCAACAATCGACACCACTTGAAGCGGGGTAGAAAAATCTTCATTCTTGAGCCGCTCAATGATATGCTTCTTAGGATCGTCCATGCCCACAATCTTAGCAACATCCACATAAAGTGCATGCAGCCTGGGATCAATTTCAGAGGTGATAGAGTTGGGTATTGGGAAGTCATTTTTGTACCTCTTGTGCCTCTTGCTTGCCTCGATAGCCCGGGCCTTGAGCTTTTCGAACTCGACAGCGATCTCATGGCTTGGTTTGAGCTTCTTTAGCTTGTCAAAGAACCCCTTGAGGCCTGTATGCCCACCGCCCTCGTGGTCAAGACGAGCCGTGAAGTCATCAAGGCAATCTTCCATGTCGTAGGACAGCTCGCGGACGTCGTCCCTCCAAGGTATCATCTCAGGGTCCAGCTGCTCGGCATCCTCAAGCGCCTCTAGCGCGGCCGTCATGCTGCACATCTCATCTCTCGTGGCTTCGACCTGACGAGCCAAGCCTTTGACTTTGAGCCGGGCGTACTCTTCCTCCGACAGCTTGAAGAGCTTCTCCAGGAGCGGCTTCATCACCCCCACGCCAACACCCACAAGAGCAGCCTCCATCGCCTTCCGCTACTATCTGAAATTTCTGGATATTGGAGGAAGGTAAAAGTGAGGTGATAGCGTGGGAAGAGAGGCAAACAAGGACACCGTTTTAATAGCCTTTTAGTTGAGCTACATTTGATCTGTAATACCTACACGGCCAAGTTTTGTTAAACAGGACCATGCTTTTATGTACTCCCCCGTCCCAAAATTCTTGTCTTAGATTTATCTAAATACGGATGTATCAAGTCATATTTTAGTATTAGATACATCCGTATCTAGACGAATCTAAGACAAAATTTTTGGGACGAAGGGAGTAGTTGACTCCATCCACAGGTTGACTAACGGCGAAGATGGCGTGTCAGCTAACTGTAGCCACGCAACTAACTCCATGCCGTGCTACGGTGTGGCATACGTGGTGAGCAATCAAAACTTGATACGAATTAGTTGCCTTAGTTTTGTTTTTATTTGTTCATAAATAGTTTGGATTGCTTACCCCGTTGTCATATTTTTCTTTATAAAGAGAATTTATTAAAATCGAGAAGATACATGTACACATTGAAGATTCACAAACCAAATTAATCAAAACAAGGAAAAGAAAAGGAAAAACATGAACTGAAAAATCATGCTGAAGCAGATGACCATATGCAACAGCTACTCCCTCCGTTTGGAATTATTTGTCACAAAAATGAATAAAAATGGATGTATCTATAACTAAAATACATCTAGATACATTCATTTCTTGGACGAGTAATTCCGAACGAAGGGAGTAGCAACAAGCAACAATACCAATCATCACCTTGGCAACACATACAACTACAAGAGATTCTACAACAGCAAGATGCACCCGCGTCGTCATTGACATATTAAAATCAATTGAAGACCAGATCACGAATTTTCACCCCAAAGAGTTTGTTCGAGAAAGGATCTAACATGTAAGCACCATCATTACCAGGTTCAACACCAACTAAGTTCAAACATAAGGATCTTCATCCCAGAGCTCGAGGCTGGGTAATCGAGAAACACCACCAAATGACCATCGCCATGTGTTTCTACCTTACATGCCTACCTCAAACCCATGCTATACGCATATGGAGATAATTGCTCATGCATCCGGTCCTGACGTGGACATTACCACATGATCAATAACACTTAAATGATTGTAAACACGAGCATCAATCTAGCGAGAGAGGAAGGTAACCGTTGTCGTCAAAATCCCATACAAGGGACCCCTCCAGCTGTGCATGACATCATCCTCCCTAGCAAAGTACATCAAATCGGCAGCGACTAGGGTTTGCCCATGCCGTCCCCTAGGAGCAAGTTGATCCATTTCTCCGGTTCCGTCCCAACAAAGCGTCCTTTGTAAAGGCGTGGTTAGATCTCGCAATTCGGCAGATCTTTCCGTTAGTCAACGATAGCAACATAGTAATATACAAGTGGAACGATGGTATGCAACAAATCAAAATTTTGACGCGCTTAGGGAGAACTTAAACAATACTAGCTCACCGTTACCTGTGACCTGATCAAGCAAGTGTCTATTTTCTTTAGAGTGCAATACCTAAACTAATCAATCAATCAGTGCAATCCAATGGGTTTATTGACTAGGAAATGGCTAGCTGATGGTGAACCATCAACCAACAGCCAACTCCCTTGTATATATTGGGGAATTGTACATGTTGAGAAACTTCTTGTGCCCGGGTCGTTTTCAGCGACCAAAGAAGGGCAAATAGCGCTCACGCGGATACAAAACAAAGAATAAATGAAACTACCTCCCACGCTGACAGCTTATCCTTCGCTGTGCATATCAGGTACCTTCCGTAGTTTTTTTTAGACAAAGGTACTTTCCGTAGTAGTACTGAGTGTAGCTGCATCCCGATAAAGGTTTGACCATAAAGGTTTTCGGGTGAAAGGCTAAGGCCCAGTGGGGTTGGGCGACGGGGTCGGCATCGTCGCTTCCTTCTTTGGGGCGTCGTCTTGAAGAGCATTGGATCTCGTTTGCACGCTCCATGGGCTGGGCGCCCACAGCATTGCGGTCGGCAGGTGTCTGTACGGCAATGATGATGTTGCGCGAGTTCTTGTGCGGCAACGATGGTGGCTTCGGGCGGAGTAGGGCTGCTGCTGAGCTTTGGTAGTCGGTTTCCGGCGTGTTCGAGGCGTTGACGTGCCTCACTTGTCTAACTGAAGTCGGAGCTGTAGAGGAGGTGTCTCCGCGGTAACGATGACACGAGTCGGGTGTTCAGTTCCGGTGTTGGCTCGGCGCAAGCCCAGTGCTTTCCCCCTGCAATGCACTTCGACCGAGTCAGAGCTGCCTGGTCGTCGGCGCGTGTGGTGGACTGTTTGGCATCGGCCGGCGTAGGCCTCGACACTTGAGTGGCGAGGGCTACATCGGTGGTTGTTGATGGTGGAGTCGGAGTCGCCCTCGCAGAGGTGTGATGACGATGACACCGGATTGCAACCTCGACGGCGTGTGTGCGTTCTTGTGTGGGTTGCCTGGTCGCCCTGCCTTATTTTTGCGGTGTTGTGACGATTTTCGCCCGGTTTTCCGTTAATTAACTAGGCAACTCTCTTCGACCTTTTTAATGAATCGGGCCCTAAAAGACCGCGTTTCAAAAAAAAAGATAAAGGTTTTCCCCTGCTTTATATTGTAAAGCAACCAACCGATACAACAAGGTGCTGGGACGGAAACAACATAGTCATGCCCAAAAAAAAGAAAGAGAAAAACAAAAGGAACAAATTCTGACAACGGCAGATCAACATAAATGAAGAAGCCTTGCGGCCGTTGCGCCCACCGGAGGTCTCCCACCAAGCTCCTAGCTCCAAAGCACCGGTACCCATCAACACCTCCAAGAAGGGACGCGACGATGACAATGATGCTGCCAAGGGTTTCCCCTGATACACGATGAGGAGAAAGGAAGGATAGCACCCGACGCCCTCCAGAAATGTCTGACGGCAGCCTCAGGCACCACCGCATCGGCGTAGAAAAGGCCGACAGGGATTTCTCCCGAGCCCAACCATCACCCCGGGCGCTCCGGAGGTCTCCACCATGGCATCCACCACCCTGCGCCAACTGGTCACCGAGCCACCCACGTTGTCTCACCACGACATCATGAAGTGGGGCCTACACAACGAAGAAGAAGAGCCGGGACTAGGGCCAGCAGCACCGTTAGTACCCGGGAGGGCCAACCTCCACCGTCAACGACGGTAACCTACCGGACGCAATAGCAGAAGCAAACCAGGCTCGCGGGCCCACAGGTCTGGCCAGGCGCTGACATGCCTGTAAAGCTCCCGTCGTCGCACTGTAGAAGGCACGCCTTCGGCGACGCCACCCCCCGTCCGAGCTACTCCTCTTCTTTACCGTGTAGAAGGTAGCGAGGCCGCGCCGGAGCTGGCCTGCTAGGACCCAGATGGGGCCCTAAGGGCCCAGATCTGGGCCGGGGGCACGCCGCCGGCCACCCCGCTCACCAGGCTGCCCCACCACCAAGGAGCAGTGCCACCACAACGCTTGCCGCTGGCCACCGCCACCAGGTCGCCGGACCACCGCCTGCCAAGCACTACTAGGGAAAACCTTATACACAGAATTTTAGCAGCAACACGGCACAAAAAGAAGCGCTATTGCTAATTAGCAGTAGCACAGATTTTTAACCCTCGCTACTACTAAGTTGATAGTAGTAGCGCGGGTTTTTAACCCTCGCTACTACTAAGCGGTCTCTACCGTGCCCCCTGACACATGCCATAGTAGTAGCGAGGGGTATAAACCCGCGCTACTACTAAGTTGATAGTAGTAGCGCGGTTTTATACCCCTCGCTACTACTAAGTACGAGGTAGGTGAAGTCGCCATATCCTCGGCCGAATCCCCATCTCCTCCCCAAATCCCTCCTCTCTTCCACCACTCTCTCCTCTCACTTTCCATACGCTCTCACATGGACCTCTTGCCCATGCACCCATCCTCCTCCATGGCGCCGAAAGAGGCCGGCGCCTCGCGCCACCGGCGTCTAGGAGCTCGTCGGTCTTCCACCGACGTCTAGGAGGCCGCCGCCCCGCGCCACCACACCGGAGCACCTCGCCACCGGTGACTAGCTCCACTGCTCCCTACATCACCTTCCTCTCTCCCTCGGTTTTCCTTTTCTCTCTCTCCCTCTGGTTAGACTCACCCTCCCATGTCTATGCCCGTGTAGGTCATTGCCATAGATGACCTGGAGCTATCTGGCATGGTCGGGAAGAGGAGCCCCACGCCGCGGCCTGGCTCTGCCATAGAAACGGGCCCTCTCCAACAACCACTGCTAAATCTGGTCTTCCGCTGTCCGTTCATGCCTCCGGCGACGCCAATCATCGCTAGATCTTACCATTGCTGCCATTGACAGCACGCACGGGATCGAGATTTTTTTGTTTTTGAAAGTAATAGCAGTAGCGCGGGGTATAAGACCCGCTACAGCTAATTAGCAGTAGCGCTGTTTGCAACGCACGCTACAGCTAACCATGTATAGTAGTAGCGTGTGTCACCACGCGCTACTGCTACAAGTTAGCTGTGGCGCCGTATCAGTAGCGCGGGCACCCGCGCTACTGATACACCCAAAACCCGCGCTGCTGCTAGGCTTTTCCCTAGTAGTGAAGCCTCATCGCTGCTGATCCCCTGCCCCGGGAAGGAGGGTCAAGCGCGCGGGTTCAGAAGATCCTGCCGCCGCCGACACCACCCGGGCCGGATGGGGGGCACCCACCGGCTGTGACGTGATACGTTCCAAACGTATCTACTTTTCCAAACACTTTTGCTCTTATTTTGGACTCTTGCATGATTTGAATGGAACTAACCCGAACTAACGCTGTTTTCAGTAGAATTGGCATGGTGTTATTTCTAAGCAGAAATTAAAGTTCTCGGATTGGGCTGGAAATTTAAGAAGATTATTTTTAGGATATATAAAAAAATACTGGCGAAGGAAATTACGAGAGGGGGCCACATGAAAGTGCGTTATATTGACTAGAGGGGGGGGGGTGAATAGGCGATTTTTATGAACTCTTCACTAAGA